CTCGCTCACACTCGGCGACAGGCAGCCCCTGGGTCACATGGCAGCCCACACCTTCGTGGACAGTGTGGACGGTGAGCACGCCCCTGGGGCTCATGAGAGGTCTGGGTTCAGTTCCCACCCGCCCAACGGGCTGGCACGGCATGGAATCCCAGTACACGGGCTGGGGTGGGAGGCGTGGGCAGGGCAGGACCCTGCCAAAAAAGACCTCCCTCTCAAGGATCATTTCTTTTTTACTTTTTAAAAGAATTATTTTATTTACCTTTATTTATTATTATTATTATTTTCCAATTTGACCAGAGAGAGAGAAAGTGAGAAAGCCACCAGATCTGAGACTCGAACTGCAGTCAGCCATGTGGGAGCTTAGAATCCCTCAGATTTGCATATCCAGCACCTCATCATTGGTCCACAAAAGCAACCAATCATAACCCACCTTCTAGAACCCTTCATTCGCATATAGGACAACCAATTACTGCCCACCAGCATGTATATAACCACGATCCCTGGCCCACAGGGATCCTGAAGACCCTGAAGGCCCGTGACACTGCGTTGTCTCCAAACGACCCTGAAGAGTTGTAACACTGTTGTCTCCGTGCTGCCCACAATAAACGGACGACCCTGAAGAGTTGCAACCCTGCGTAAGTCTCCATGTTGTAACACCGCGTCGTTCGTCCCGTCTCACTCCGTCCCTCAGGAAACCTGTTTGACTGTCCCCCAGGTCGGGACAAGAGGTCACAGCACAAGGTCATAGTCCTTTGGCCCCTGGAGCCATTGGGAATGTAGGCACGTTGGGTAGGAGGGCAGGACCGTGCGGTGCAGTAGACTCCCGGCCCGGCGAGGAGCCCCGGCAGTACTGGGTGAGGAGGGAGCCCCACAGCAGCAGTGCTCGGGGAGGAGGCACCTGCTCGCCAAGCCATGCCAGGTGTGCCACAGCATCACTGCCAGGCCTGGCCCCCTCCCTGCCCTCTGCAGCCCACCTTACCCTCCGCCCAGTGCTCCACCCAACCCCACAGGGAGCAGCTGCGGCTCAGACTCTGGCTGCGCTCGGTACAGGTGCCACCTCTCCTGGTCAGTCGGGCCTCCCTGCCCCCACAGCCCTGGAAGCCGTATAGTCCATTCCGGAGTGAGCAGAGGCCACGCTGAGGACCGAGTGCGGTCTGGGCAGGGGAGCCGAGGCTGCACGCCCGGCGGGCCAAGGGGTCAATGCAGTCCGGCCTCGACAGGAACCGCTCCAGCCGCCACTTCTGCAGCCGCAGTGGGCACGCTCAGTCCCAGCGGGGACAACAGAGGCCTACGATGCACCGCAGCAGCTACGCCTTTACAGGAAAGACAGGTAGCCCTCTGCCCTCCTCCAGCCACAAGCACCCCAGCTCCTTGGCTGAGGAGATGAAGCTCAGCTGTTGCCCAAAGCCAAGCCACCAGAACGTGATGGGCTGGGGCTGGGACCAGGCACTAGCTGGCTCTAGCCAGGACCGCTACCACGCTGCTGTGTCGGCTCACCGGGACCATCCCTGCCCAGGGCCCGGGGCTGAACCCCAGCCTGGGGAAGGGAAGGGGGAGAGGCCAGCAGGCCTCCAGAGCCAAGCTGGAGCTCAGCCCCGTCCCTCCCCACAGCCCCCGTGGCCCCCGCCGCACACAGGAGAAGGGAAGGCCTCTTCCGTGCTGTGACCGCCCGACCTGCGCTGCCCTGCCCGGCCCAGCCCTGCCCCGAGGCTGGGGCTGCAGTGGCCCCGGCTGGAGGAGAACACGGCGCTCTCCAACTCCAGGACAAAGGGCCCTGTGAGCAGGACGGTGGCCCACATCTTACAGACGGACACTGACACCAAGGCGCAGGGCACAGGCACTGAGGTCTCGGAGGTGGCAGCACCAGCTCTTCACTCCAGGAGGGGCCAGAGGAGAGAGCACCCCGCCACTATGCACTGCCAACGAGGCCAGGGCGGCATCCAGTGAGGGCGCTGGCTGCCCGGAGGAGGGGTGTCCGAGGACTGAGTCACCGGACCAGCACCCGGCAAAGCTCCATGCAGGATGGGGGCTGGCCCTCTTCCAGGGACAAATGTCTCCCATGTCACAGAGCCACCAGCTGTCCCAGCGGCTGGGTGGGCTTCCTGCAGCCCCAATGGAGGGGGTGGCCTGAGCAGGTGCCGGGGAATGGCACCCAGACTGCCGGTCCTTCCAGCCTGTGTTGGCTCCGTCCCAGCCCGCAGCTCTGCCTGGGCCTGGCACACCTCTGACTGCGTCGCCCCCCAGGATGAGGGAGCCCGTTCCCCCACCCACACTCGTTCACCGTTCACGAGAGCCTTAGCACAGCCACACGGTTCCAGGCATCGGGTGACAAGCTGACAGATCCCTGCCTCTCCGTGAGACCCACGCTCCCCGAGAGCAGGAGGCGAGTCTCCCCACCTGAACACCAGCATCTGCCCCAGGGCAGCCACGCCGTGTCTCGAGGAAGTGAATCCCTGCAGCCCCTCACACGGGGCCCCCCCTGTCCTGAGAGGCTCTGAAGCCAGACATCGCTGCTTTCCTGCCCTGAGTCCTCCAGACCGTCCTCGGGAACCTTCCCTGACCCTACCCTGCCGAGGTCCAGAACTTGTAGCGGAACTCCTTCATTACACACCGATCGCACGTCTACTGACGGCCCGTCTGCTGACCGCACGGCCCTCTACTGACCGCGGCCCGTCTGCTGACCGCACGGCCCTCTACTGACCGCGGCCCGTCTGCTGACCGCACGGCCCCCCCCTCACCGCTCTGCTGACCGCACGGCCCTCTACTGACCGCGGCCCGTCTGCTGACCGCATGGCCCTCTACTGACCGTGGCCCGTCTGCTGACCGCACGGCCCTCTGCTGACCGTGGCCAGTCTGCTGACCGTGCTGACTGCTGACCGCGGCCCTGTACACACGCGGTGTGTGCTGCCAGCCCCAGGACTAGAGCTGCACAGTTGGCCCTGTGGGATCCACCTACCCTAACCTCCAGCCATGGGGCCAGCCTGGTCCCATTTTCAATCAGCACTGGCTCCTGCAGGATCTGGAAAACCCCTCCTCCTTGGCACACAGGCAGCTCCGGGTACCCGGTCTAGGCCCCAAGCCAGCTGCACCAGAGGAGGCTCTGGCTCCCCCAGTGCCTGGATGAAGACACTGAGGCTCAGAGGTTGTGTGGGCCAGCCGGCTGGTGCAGAGCAGGATGGAATCAACTCAGCCCGCTGACTGCAAAGCGAGGCGACGTGCCGCGGTGATCAGCCCACCTGCCGGGGACTTGCCCAGTGGCTGGCTGTGAGTCCTGCAGGGACAGGAAGGGCTCGTACCCGCCGCTCTTTCTGGAGAAGCAAAGATCCCCCAGAAATCATCATGCCAAAGCCCCCTGACACTCACACACGCCATGCAATGCTCCAACACCACCGTCTGCCCTGCAGGAGCGCCATTCTCTGGAATTCCTACTTCCCAGTCGAGGCGATGAGCTCTACATTCTTCAGGCAGAAAAACTGAGCCAGGTGGGTGGTGGGGCAGGGAGATGGTGCCCAAACACCAGTGATGGGGCAGAGACCACAGCTCACACCTCCATCTCTGACCCTACCGGAGGCAGGGGGACCAGCGCGCAGAGAGGTGTAGGGGTGGTGCTCACTCGACCAGCATAACGGACTAATTTCTTCTTTTTTTATTGTTTTATTTACTATTATTATTAAGTTTGTTATAGGGCATGTGTGCTCGCCAGAGAGAGAGAGAAAGAGGAAAAGTGAGAAAACAAGCCACCAGATCTAGGACTCGAACCATGGCTGGCCGTGTGGGAGTCCAACGTCTTAACCACCATGCCACCTGCTGGTCCCTGGAGGGCTAACATTGGATTGTGGGGCATCTTTGTTTCATAGCTGGGAGCTTTTTCTTTCTTTTACTTTTTTGGGGAGAAGGTTCCAAGCATACTTTACTTCTTCAATGCCGAATTTGAACGAAAAGGGCAAGTGGGTTCACTGGAGAGACAGAAAGTGAGAATCTCCCCGAGGGTGATGGCCACACCGCAGTCCCTTCTCCTCTCAGGGTGTCGGGCACACACACACGTGCCTGCTGTGTTTTCCAAGCTGCAGAGTCTGGGACTGGAACCCAGTGTGGAACCCAGCTGCGGTACCCACCAGCCACCTGGCTCCCCGTGGGAGTCTGTCATAGCCCTTCTGGCCAGCGGCGGTCGGGGGGCTACTTCAGAGGTGAGCTGACGACGCGCTTGCCTCTCTGAGCGGTTCCTGGCACTGTCCACAGAACCCCAGAAGGGAACCCCGCTTCCTGGGGTGAAAACACCAACTCCACTCCACCCCAAACAAGCAGGAAAAGGGACTCGTAGAGGAGGGAAGGGGACGCCGAGGGGTGTCTGTGAGGCGCCCCGGAGTCTGAGTCATGCCCAGAGCTCCCGACCAGATGGCCCCGGAAACAGCAGAGACCCAGCACAGGCCCACGGCCATGCCCTGTGCCAGGCCCAGGGCTCTGGGCTGGCAGAGCACACCCGGCTACACAAACACGGGGGCCAGAGCCACCCCCGATAGCCTTGTCCCTGGGCTCACATTCCGCTAGAAACAACCCAGTCTCACTCACGTTCTCAGGGAGAATCACAAACCAGTCTGGGACAAGCACACACAGACCTGAGATGCTGCGACGCCACCTGGCAGGGCCCCGCCGGGCACACACCTGAC